GAAGTACATAGAACACCAAATAGACAGGAACAAAAAAGAAACTCTTCACAGAACATTATAGTAGAAACACTAAATGTACAGAACAAAGAGAGAATACTGAATGCTGAAACAGAAAAACAATAAGTCACATATAAAAGAAAGGCTATCAGAATTACAGCTGACTTTTCAGTTCAAACTATGGAAGCGAGAGGAGCCTGGACCAAAGTATTCCCAGTTCTAAATGACCACAGATGCCAACCCAGATGACTTCACCCAGCCAAAATGTATATTATAGTCGAAGGGGAAAGAAAAATCTTCTATGACCTAAATAGGCTGAAAGAATTCATGTCCACAAAACTAGCCCCTCAGAGAGTTGTTGAAGCAATACAAAGAGCTGAAGAAAGATCTGCATGCCTCTGCTTCCCTAGTGCTGGGAATAAAGGCATGCCCCAACACAACTGTTGATTTCTAATCTTAACAATGACTCACAATGAATAACTAAATAGCCATTAAAAACTCACTGGTTGGTAACATTAATATCAGTGTAATCAACTATATGGAAAATTTTCTAAGACAATTATAAAAAACACAGCTTTTTTAAGTTAAATGGAAAAAGAACTGTTCAACTAAAGGAAAACCCAATAACTTCTGTAATCCACTTGAGTACCTGAAATGGGTGAATATATTTGAACAAATTTTCCCCCCTTCAGCAAACACTATTTCATTTCCAGGGTGAAGATGAGGAAAGAAGACAATATTATTGAATGACATCTCTAGAACTTTCATTACTGAGTCCCTGAGTGACAGGACTGATTGATTCAGCAACACGAAGAAAGGCAAGAGGGGCCTGTAGAGATGGTTCAGTGGTTCAGACACTGGCTGCCTTTGTAGAGTACCCAGGTTCAGTTCCCAGCACCTATGTGGTGAGTAAAAATGTTCTTTACTACAGTTCCTCTTCCAGGGGATTCCATACCATCTTCTGACATTCATGGGCAGTGCAGGATACAGAAGCACTTACATATATGCAAGCAATACCCTCATACACTATTGTAATTTGTTTCTCTATTACTGTGACAAAATACTCTCACCAGTACCAACTTGGGGAGGAAAGGGTTTATTTATCTAACATCTCCCAGGTCACAGTTCATCAGGGAGTCCAAGGTAGGAATTCAGAGCAGGAAACTGGAGGTAGGAGCTGGAGCACAGGCCATAGGGGAATGTTGCTTACTTGCTTGCTCCCCTGGCCCTTGCTCAACCTGCTTTCTTATACAACATAATCCCACCTCCCCAGGGATGGCAGCATCCAGAATAGGCTGGACCCTCCCACATCACTCAATAATCAAGATGCCCACAGACATGTTCACAGGCAAGTCCAATTAAGAAAATTCCCCAATTGAGGGTCCCTCAACCCAGATATATCAAGTTGACACTAAAGCCATCCAGCACAACTGACCCCTTGTCAACCTGACACACAAATACATCACTATTAAACCACAACCTATAGATTTCTTGTCCCGAAAATATAATGATTACATTAATATCACAATATAAGAAAGTACAAATTTTATGGTGTCAAGTCTCTGCTGCTCTCTGTGATCCCTTCAAGCTTTCAACACCAGAACCATGCAGGAGACTCTTACATATTACCAAGTCCTGCTTCCAGCTTGAGATGGAGTATCATACCCCCTGTGGATCACAGCTCCTATGCTGACCCTGAGGAAATACTTTGCAGAAGATTTTGCCAAAGTGATGCTGTCTCTTTTTAATTACAGCTGACTTTTCAGCCCCAGCTAACCAGCATCAATTGTCCCCATAAAGCAAAGGTTTAACTTCGGTCTCTTTATCACAGCTGATTCTTCAGTCCCAGTTGAACAGAAGCCAAATGTTCTCAATTAAAGAGATCACACAAACGGCCCTTACAGTCTCTGCTTCCTTTTGAAGCTTCACAATCAGACCTCCATTTTTCATGACTCTTTCAGCATAACAATTCCAAGCTCCATAGCAACAAAGTCTGAATGGCTTTTCCAGCATTAAACTTTTAAACACTTTCATAATCCTCCTAAAAACTCCAAGGTCTGGACTGTCAAAGCAATGCCCAAATCTCTGGTACCAATTCTGTTCTACTTTGTTTCTCCAATTCTGTGACAAAATACTTTGATTAATAAAAAAATGGGGAGAAAAAGATTTATTTTATTTTAGTTCTTTTGGGTCACAGTTCATCAGGCAGCCCAAGGTAGGAACTCAGAGAGGAAACTGGAAGTAGAGATGAGGCATAGGTGATGGAGGACACTGCTTACTGGCTTGGTCCCATGACCTCTGATCAACCTGTATTCTTATACAACATAAGCCCACCTTCCCAGGGGTGGCATCACCTCCAGTGGGTGGGACCCTGGAACCCTCCCACATTAGTCAATAATCAAGATGTTGTCCCACAAACAAGGCCACAGCCAAGACCAAAGGAGAAAATTCCACAATTGAAGATCCCACATCCCAGGCTGTCAACTGTACAGTAAAGCTATCCAGCAGATACACATAACTTAAAATGAATAAATAGAAAGCAATTTTAAAAAGAGTTAGGAGGCAAGATTATGAGTTCTCAAACACTAGTACATAAAATCCTTTTCTACAGTCACAAACCTAGAGTAGCAAATACCTGACGAAAGGTTAGATTAGCTCAAAAATTGTCCATCACTCTCATGTCACATTTCCCAAGGTGAAAAGAGTTTATATAAGATAGTTCACACTTTGATTATGATAACTTATTTATTTTGTGAAATGCACTATGAATTTGTGATGCACATCATGACGTATGAAGAACACACTGTACATGACTCATGCTCTGTAGTGAACATGCACCCTCCTTCACATTATTAGCATTCTTTGATCAGAGCATATTACATCCATTCTCTTGTTATTTTCCAAGGACAATGTATAGTGATAACTAAGATAATCCCTTTTTTTTTTTTTTTAACTTTTTGAGACAGGGTCTCCCTGTAGCCCCAGCTGTCCAGAAACTCAATAGGGAGATGAGGCTGGCTCACAGAGATCAACCTGCCTGTGCCTCTCAAGTTCTGGGATTAAAGGTATGTACCACCATAATTGGCAACTAAGGCAATCTCTATGTTTCTAGCTTATTTCAAATTTGAAACTGAATTTTGTCTATTTTATCTCATATTACCACACAGTACATTTTGGATTGTTTTCATATGATCTACAATTGAGAAAAATTGTTCAGCAGATTAACATTAAACTTTGGCTCCAACTTTAGAGGTTTCAGTCCGGTATCCATGGGGCTCAGACAGTACTGATAATGGCAAGACTGATATAAGATGGAAGGTCATGATGTAAGAAATCTCATCTTATGGATAACAAAAATTACACACAGTACATTTTGGATTGTTTTCATATGATCTACAATTGAGAAAAATTGTTCAGCAGATTAACATTAAACTTTGGCTCCAACTTTAGAGGTTTCAGTCCGGTATCCATGGGGCTCAGACAGTACTGATAATGGCAAGACTGATATAAGATGGAAGGTCATGATGTAAGAAATCTCATCTTATGGATAACAAAAATTACTAGAATCTCTTTCTCATGAAATAGACTATGGCAAACCTATTTTCAGGTCTTTATCCTTCTTTACTTGGGTCCTCTCACCTGGGCCCCTTATTCATCCACTCAAACCTACCTGGTTGGCTACAGCCTCTCCTCTCTTCACATCCCAAGGCTCTTTGCTTTCCTCCAGACAGGAGACCAGAACAGGCTTACATGTAGCAAGACCTGTGTATGAGAAAGGGGCACATGATGCTTCCTGGACTCTTTAGAAAGTACCAGATTTGTAACACAGCACTATGCTCCAATGATAATATTCAGAAAAACAATGGAGTCTCCAAATAATTTCCCAAATTTTATTTTCTGACAGTCTCATAAGAATGCATAGGAATGTTTTCAGTTTTCATATTTTGAGTTCTATCACTGATTCACAATTCAGCTATGGCAATAGAACTTTAAGGTTATGGCTACAGGGGCTGGAGAGATGGCTCAGTGGG